GTGCATGAGTATATTGCCTGCATGTGTGTAAGTGTACCTATGTCATGCAATGCCTGTGGAGGTCAGAAGAAGGCTGGAAATGGAGTTACTAAAAGTTGTTAGCCACCATGTGTGTACTGGGAATCGAACCCAGGTCCTCTGCAAGAGCAGCTAGTGCTTTTAACCACTGAGCCATCTCCCCAGCCCCCAAATATCAGCATTTTAATCCTTCTTTCAGGTTCTTTTTTGAGAAAATAGAAGCTCAAAATATATTAAACAGCTTAAAATTGAAAACCATCTGAATATATACTGGAAAGCTGATAATTAGAAAAATAATTATCTTAACGTCATTAAGCAAGTAAAATATCTTTTAATATGATACAGAATATATTGTAAAAACCTGCAATAAAATCCTAAAAGAGGAAATAGCAGAAATATTATAGAGCAAGGACATGGAATCAGCCACAAATCCTAGTTGGGCAGCAAATAAAACAACCTATTAGAGTAATCAGGAACAGATTGCTAGGGCTAGGGGTGTATCTTAGTGGTAGAGCCTTTGCGCAACATGGTGAGGCCCTAAGTTTGACCTTGAGAACTATGTGTGTGGAGTAGGGGGCAATGACTAATTCTTTGAAAATCTGTAGGCAGGGTTAAGGAAAACTAAGGAGGGTGATGCTGTGCTTCCAAAGCTGGAGACGAAGAGCGGACTCCCAGCACTCTAGGCTGAAAGAAGAATTTAGCATATCCACAGAGAGTACAAGTCTGGAACAGGGCTCCAGCAGAATAACCAACCGTCAGGCCCAATAGGTTTCTGGTTTGTTGACAGTCTTAAAGTTGTTCCTAATACATAGTGGGTTGAGTAGGATCTTGCAATAATTCAACTTGAAAATAGGGACTTTGTGGTCATAAAGAAAGTAAGGGTTAAGATAAAAATACACAGGATTAGGCTGTGTCCAAATCCTATTCGATACATAAAGGGATGTACAGACATATGGGAAGAAAAGTCATGGGGAGATGGAGGCAGACACTTGAATTATGTGGCCACAACCCAGAAATATCAGGACCAGTGCCCCAGAACCGGGAAGAGGCAAGGAAGGATTTCCCCCGTGGAGCCTTGGGAAGGAGCATGGACCTGCTGAAACCTAGATTTTTGATGTTAGGTCTTCAGAACTGTGAGGAAAAAAGTTTTCATTATTTTAAGTCACCACATTTGTGAGAGCCCTGGGATCGTAATACAATATGTGAGTTTGAAGAGAAATGATTTTTCTCCTTTCTAAATGGGGGCGTATCCTAAAATAGGTGGGAACATGGACCATGGAGTCAGTTCTATAATTCAAGTACAGCTTATACCTCAAACTGAGGGAAATCAGTAAAAGCCCTGATGCACCCTCCTCAGACACACAATGACCAAAAGAAATGTGTGTGTGTGCGTACTAAAATATATATA